ACTGCTTTGGGCTCTTCTTGGGCTGGCCACCCTGTGCTGGTTTGGATAGGCCTTTTTGTACCCTTTAGGAACTGCCAATAATCAGCTGTCCATCTTGTCCTGCCTCCAAGAGTCATGAGGATTTGCTCATGTCTTTTGCCTCCTGACCACCTGCACGTAGACACATGCTAGGATTCTGATGACCTGCTAATCTAAGTGACTTCAACATATGGCATTCTTACGAGCCCTTTTGCTGCTGTCGTTCTTTCTGGTACTTCCACTCCCAGACATTCCCATTCATACCAGTCCTAATGTGTCTATTACAATTCTCAAAAATTTCAGTGATCACCAACCATGGAAGAGAACTACAAAAATTACAACCCTCTGCAGAAGAAAGCAGAAAGATTGTTTCAGTGCACAGCAGAACTGTACAGTATTTTAAGGCAAGAAGTGAACCAATCATAATTTGGCCATAGGTTATAAACAGGCTGTCTTCTGACACTAGTTTCTTTAATAGTCTTCTAATAAGACCATTTGCATTCCATGTTATCTCTCTCAAGGGATTACTATACATTGAAAAACATTCCAGAAAATGAACTAATTTATAAGAGATTTACTTCTAGGTACCACAAAAAATCCAGAACTCTCATCTGCTTCACTCAGTAGTTCATCTTCCTGCCTTAACTTAAAAGAACAAACTAACTAGAAATTAGGGCAAATGGTATGTTGTTTTTCATGCAACTGATCAAAATAACACCATCTCAAAATTAATATACACTATCTGGAAACCACAGTGCCCACTGATGCCTTTCAGCCTCATTCTGCATTTCAATATTCTGAACATTAGCTAAGTAGATGGAGCATTGAGCCTAGCATAATTAGCTGCAAGACAGGGGACATCACAAATACCACACATTTCTAATAGAGAAAGCAAAAAGCATTGCCCATTTGCTTCTAGTCTAGTAGGATTCCACTACAAAGGGAATATGGTTAATTCAACATATGGAAAGATAAAGTTTATTGTTCTTGAGATTATTGCAACACTTGAAAGCACTGGTCTTTGTGCTATACTCAGGAAACCGTAGGTTACCTCAACAGTCTAAAATAAATATGTGACCAGATGAACAAATTCCTTACCTTTGCCCCTGTGTGTCTTATCTGTAGTAGCTGTTTAGGAGATGATTTTCAGTGCACCTGAGGGCAAGTCTTCATCTTCATTACAGAATTTATATATGAATTCTCTTGAGAATTGCAAGAAGCAGAATCAGCCTCTGAAGACTTTATTTTAATAACTAATTTAAGAAAAATAAAAAAAGGAAAAGGGAAAAATGATGGTACCTCTAAATCTATAAAAGAATCACTAGGGTGAGAAAGAGAGGGTTTTTTTCAAATTTTATTTTCTGGTCACTTCGGAAGAAGGCCTTGGAACCTCACTTTAGGGTACGTGCTAGCTACCTGAGAATCTTCAGACTGTAGAATCAAACATTTTTCAGTCAAGCAAACAAGTAATTGGTTTGTTCAAAGCAGAACAGATTCAATGACCTACTAAGAGAACTCCAAAACCAGATCCAACATGCAACAGCTCTACTGACATGGGACTGAATTCCTTTTGTATGATAGTAAGAGCATGGATTTGAAAACAGCCTTTTATTTCCTATACTAGGCCCTAAGTAGTTCTTTTCTTTTTCTCGTAGTAAGAATAGGCTCACTTTAGGAAGAAGGGCTCCTGGTGAGAACTGTAAGAACTAAACCTGAAAGGATTCTTTACTTTATCCTCTAGGTTAAGTGTAAGAACTGCATAAAACCACTCAAGGTCTTCTGATTCACAGGAGCAGGCATGATTACACAACTTGCAGAGAGCTGCGAGCAGAGCTGTAAAACCACCAGCTAGGAATAACAGCCATATAATACCCCCTGGGGGAAGAATGCCAGAACACCCACACTACATTTATATCCCATTATAACTTACTTCAACTCTGGACTTTGCTGGCACCAATGGTCTCCAGACTGATTTGCTAGCAGCTCTATTACTTAACCTAAAGGTATAGATAAATGCATTTATTCACCTACAAGCGGCATTTCTTCTCTTCCACTTCCAGAGGTGGTGTGCTTTTTTTTCTTAGAATTCCTCCACAGTGACATTCTCCATAGAGATGTCATTTTGCATCTCCCTCCTTGAAACTCACCCTGTGACAACTCCTTTCATCCTCTCTCCTCCTTCACGTGCTTCTCCTGACTGCTTATTATGAAGTGATTCATGTTGAAGTCTTCCTTCCCCTCTCCAAAATGTCCTTCTTAGACTGCTACCATTGCTCCATGGCACAAGCTAAGCCAGCTCTTCCCCTAAACCAGCTTGTGAAGCAAGAAATGAGATTAGAGTCACAACTCCAAGAGCCAGCTATTTTTATGTAGCAAGAGAGATCTTCACAGATATTACTGCAGTATGTAACAAGATACATGAGCCAACTCTGACTACAGATATTAACACAGGCCACAGGAACTTACTAAAGAACTTAAGTACTTACATAGATGGCTTTCCCATTCTGTCAAGGTTTACATATAGGCTTAAAGCTTTTTTAAGTAGGCTTTTCAAAGCCAATCAGCATGGGGACCAACTGTAGGTATTGTTACAAAACCGCACATCCCTTCTCCCCTCTGCAAAAAGAAACAGTTAACTAAAGCGAGCTTTTGTTCACCGTTTCTCTCCATCCATCTCCTGTCTTTCTGAGCAGCTGAAGTGGTCATTTATGGAGGCAAATGAGAGTGTGCAATGAAATCCATACACATGGGAGGCAACAGTACCATGGCATGCCCAGGTTGCGAAGCAAAACAGCACCAACTGGTGAGAGACTGAAGCAGGAACTCGGCAATGTGGCAAGTTTTCAAGTCATGGAGATCAGGCAGAAAAGACATGGACAAAAGGTCTGGAAAAGGGATTACACAAGGTGAACAGCAGAAAATAAAAGAAAGGCTGGCCAAGATCTTTAAAAAAACTAAAAATGCCACATACAGAACAGGTAAGCATTAAAAAAAGAGGCAGTGAGTGATTCTTAGAGACCTAAAGATTAGTATTACAAGGAATGGATTGTGTGCACAGTTTCTGAGAATATAAAAGTTCTTTTGACTACAAAACTATCAAGAAAGAATGAGACCTCACAGCAGAAGAAAGTTGAATGAGCCTTCAGCATAAAAAAAGATGATGAAGAAGAGATCAAAGTGGTGACATCATTGTGTCTAGACACCATCAAAATCCTGAAAAACTTCTAAATCAAGTATTTCCTAGAACCCTTTTTAAAACAGATGCATAAGCACATTACTGACACATTTATTATTAGAGAAGTCTGGTAGCAAAATAAAAATAATTTTGACAGAAGGAATCAGCAATGCATTCAGAAGCACTGACCTAAACTGGTGCATTCATATCACGTCACCGTGACATGTAGAAAGTGCACATGTACTTATCCAAGCCAGAAACAAAACTCACATTGACTCAAGTATATCCAAGACCGGACTAGAAAGATGCACAGAATAACCTCAGGGAGATTTCTGAAGGGCATGCCCCTGTGGCACAGGACACACCCGCTATTAACACAAATTTAGAAACAATTATGGGCAGGACAGATCAGATTTCCACACACCCATGGACTAAAACTACTTAGCAGAAAGCACAGCAAAACAATTGTTTCCAAGCACTCTAGCGTGACAATTCTTAAAGTTAGATCAGAAACAACAGTTTCCTGGAAGAACACAAGGCCAGGCTTAAGCTCAGTGGGTTCTGTTGTAGCAGTAATTTCTCATCAAGAGTAACTGCTTTACACAGAAAATCCACAGCACTTTCAAATGGGCATTTCTGCCCCTCCTGTCCTACAGCTTCATTGTGCCTTCAACCATTAGCATGTTAGATGAGAACGCTGAACAGCAAGCAGCTTTCAAGGAGGTTGGTAAGGAAGAAAAAAAATAAGAGGTCTCTTTCAAAACCGAACAGCTTTGTTTACAACGGTCTCCCCCAAAAAGTCCAAAAACTTCAAAAGTCCACTTTAAAAACCAGTTACTTAGAAATTCAAAACAAGAGAAAGAGGAAAGACTAGCAAAAGTCTAGTATTTGATTTTTGCAAGGCCAAGTAGCAATTTCAGAAGATTTATTTATTTATTTTTGAAGTACAGAATGGAGCACATGCATAAGACCTGGTCCTCCTCACAAGTACAAGGTACACTGAGTGTTCTGAAGAAAGCTCATGCATTTAGCAGCACTGTTCATTCAAAGAGCTGAGTTTTAAGGCAGTTAAGACTCTGACAGCTAGTAGGGAAGAAGAAAACATTTTAGATTTCTAAACTCTGTTTCTAGCTTCTACTGCTTAGCACTATGCCATTCCTACAGCAATAAATTAGCAAGGAACATGATTATGCTGAAGCCTATACATGACATACAATGCCATGTCACAATAAAAAAATATACTCTTTGTTGTAACTTTTCATTACAAAAATACCAGATGGAGAAGACAGACTTTCAGGAACAAACTCACAGAAACTAGGCAGGCTGAGACATGCAAACATTTGACAAAACATACACACATACACACACACAAATGTTCCACGAAGGACTAAAGAACTGCACAGATTGAAATACTGTGTTACTGAGGACAGATGTTATCAAAAGTTTTTAAAAGTATGTATTTAAGTAACAATTGTTAAATTTTGTTGTCTAACTAGTCTTATGCTGATCTGCAAGCTTGTTGTTGGCCATATGCACTCAAATTTCAGCTCTACAGGACACTTCTGTACCTATTACTAGAACACAAAGTCTGAGAAGAAAAGCATTCGGTCCTGAGTTTTGTTGCTTTCACATACAAGTTCATTTAATCTTAATGACAGTATTCAGGACTCAACAGGTTAACTACAAAAACATCAGTTTGTATTTCTTTTTCTCCTCACCTATAAAAAAATGCAAACGGAAAAGCTCTCAAGGAAATTTAGTTCACACCAGACTATGTGCCAGAGAAAAAAAGGTCAAATAAACGTACTCTAGAACACAGACGGTCTTAGCTGAGAAGTAATAGAGAATTCTGACACACAACGTCCTACTACAACTGCTTGAGCAGGTAACAGGATACATCATCTCAACAGCCTGAAGTTAGATTACAGTCTTGTCCCTTTACCAGTATAAAAGCCTAAGTCAAGGATCCAGACTTGATTCGTGTTCTTCAGTTTCATCAGGTAGCTCTTCAGCAGATGCACCACACACATTGTCCTGGTTATCTGCAGACTGATTTAACTCATCAGGTTCCCCAGCTGCAATCTGAGTTGTTTCTTCTTCCTCTTCTTCCTCAACTTCCCCATCATCCTCTACATCCATCTCAAACACCCTCACATGACGGAGATTTGAACTTAGCTACGGAGACATTAAGAAGTTTCCATTAATACATAAATAAATAAATGCACCAATACCATTTTAAATGTCAGCCAATAGCTTTGAAAATAGCCTTTATCTTTGAAATGGAGGTATCAAGGAAATTAGCAACTTTTTTATTGCTCTGGAGGCTGAAAAGTAAAGCAAGTAGATCTATTAACTTCTGTTAAAAGTTTTTCCATGTTGTGTTATGAGAGAGGTATGACTATCCTGACACACTTAGATTATGAGCGAATAATCTATTTGTCTAAAAAAAAGTTTTGATAAATTTCACGAAATTAGAAGAAACAGATTATCACTCGCTCCAGTCACAGCATGTTTTCTTTAATAGTTTACAAGCTTGTTCACAGATACTGTACTTACCACACAGGAAACTTTTCTAATGCCATTTACAGAAACATATTGAGCTTTCATATTCTCCAGCACTCTCCATTGATTCTCCAGGAAGACAGTACGTGTGGATATCTCTCCACTTTGCTCATCCAGCCTGCACATAGCAAGAAGAAAAGCACAAAACTGGTACTTAAACAATTCCAGTACTAAGAAAAACCTGTCAGTCCATTTCTTTTATGTCTAAGTTTTACTATATCATATGCAACCAGCAGATAACCTATTTGAAACCATAAAAACACTGCTACAGATACTCTACAGTGGGGCATCCAGCTGGAGCTCCAGTGGAGACACAGCATGTTTCAACTAAGGTAAAAAGATTACAGCAGGTGAGAAGGGAGTTATAAAGCCTGGTCTTCCCACAAATAACAGCTACAGCAGGAGGATGAGGATGGCTTTCCTTCAAACCTCTCCTCTGCAAGAAGAGGAGTTTCTGAACAAAGTCCTGGAGGCGAGGCCTCCACTTACACTCCAGTTGTATCACAGTCCAGCTGTATCACTCCAGTTCACCCCCATTCACAGGGACTGTATGAAAGAACTCCCTGCCTGGTACAGTGGCCAGGATTAGTTTGAACTTGCTTTTAGTATTTTCTATTCATTCTTCAATACACAATTTCTTTGTGGCGTAAAAAAAAAAATTTACAGTTCAGTATGGCTCTTTATTTTGAGGTAAAAATGTATCTTCAGCAAGCCACCAAAGGTATAGGGAGAAAAAAGAAAAAGCAAGTGAGGCACAACAACTAAAAGATTGGATTCACCACCTGAACTACATTTGCCTTTTCTGTGTGTGTGTTCACTTCCCCCAGATGCTCTCCTCTCCATGTGCCAACAAAGAAGCACCAATTCTGATGTTTCAAGACTAAGCTGACAATAGTTGTAAGTGTGACTACCAGGGGAGAGATGAAGGAATATCTGTGTATCCTTATTACAAGGCAGAGGTATATGAGCAAATATGCTGAAAATATCCTAAATTCAAGTATCCTGACCAGCAAAGTTAGCATCCTCTAAAGAAAAGAGGATTTCTGATTCTACAGGATGTCTTCAATTGGTCCTCCCATTTCATGAGAGCCATGTACAAAGGTAGTATTCAGTCTCAAAAAAGCAAAACCAACCCCAAACCAACCCCCCCAAAAACCACAAAACGAACTGTTTAGGAAGCTTCCATCTCCCCACCCCACTCTCCCTGGCACAAAAAGAGGTTTTGCTTTTAAAATATTTACACATACACACACAAAGCATGAGTAACTGTACAGAATTAGAATATCTGCTTAATCTGCTGTTCAGTTCTGCATTTTCAGACTTGCTCAAAGTTCTTCAGTACCTTTTAGTAGAATCCCAGATGAATTCCCTATCTTGGTCCTCATCTGTGTATACTGAAGATAAAGGCAGCTGAGCCAAGACTCTCTCCTTCCCCTCTTGTTCCACATTCTCCTTCAGAACTACAGTTACAGTTTCATCATCATAGAAGTGTGCATCTAAACAGCTGTAGCATCTATAGGAAAATAATTTAGAAAGCATCAAGGAATAAAAGTGAGCGCAGAACTAAAAACACTTTTAAGTTGCACAGCATTCACATTAAAAACTACTAGGCAGTAGTTAACAGTGAGCTTTACTGTAAACAATAAAAAAGGTCAGTCATGCAGCTAATGCTGAAAGACAGCCAAAACCATGGCAGACTCTTGTATCATGCAGGAAAAATGATTCTGAAGGAAAAAAAAAAAACAAACGACCCCAAAAAAACCTTACTAGCTTATTTTTTCCTATTTCAGGTGAGATGTAAGAAACACAAACAACAAAGATTTAGAAACACAACTGAAGGTACTGAGGGCAATCACATCTGGCCTTCCTACATGAAAAGGTTGAGCTTAGTCTGCCATGCCTTCTAAGATGCCTTCATTCAGGCATATCAAGTCTCCATCTTACTTAAAGAACATCACAGATATAAACAAGAGCTGTTTCCAGCTAGCTTTGTTTCTTGCACGCGTCCTAAAGCTCCAGTTTTCAAGTAGAAAACTAAAATTTATTTGGCCTTGAGATGAAGTGCAAAGTAAGACTCCCACAGTCCTGCAGCTTCATGCACCTGTGCCACTTCTTTCAGCCTGGCTCACGCAAGGACTACAAGCTGGTCCAGTGTCTGTAACTTGCAGTATAAAAGCCAAACTATAATGCCTGGTAAGTTAATTTAATGTAAAATAAACACTAGAAAACATGGTCCTCAATTTAGCAATCTGCAATTCTGGAAAAAAATCAAATATACTGACCTGGAGTCCAAGCTCTCATTTATACTGTTGTTCAAGAAGTTTCCAAAATCTACTGCAAGAATTCCATTACTGACAGACCTAGAACAACAGTGTTAATTATCTCAGTGACTGATTTCTTTTCCATTCATAGAGAATCCAAAATCTCCAATGGCAGCTGTAGTAAGAGACAGTGTAAGCCTGCCTAAGCTTAGCACAATACACTACTACATCCCAAAATGATATAACTGGTGGATGGGAACCTTTTCATTTCTTCTGCCCCTCAGCAAAACGTGACTAATGGAGTCAAATGGGAAACTGTGTCTGGCTTGTGGGATACAGTTGTTCTTTGCTGAATCCTTGGATCAATTGCTCTAGTCTCAGGTCTGTTGAGTTACTTGTTACTCAAATCTACAGAAAATGAGTTTAGACTGGTTTAGATATCAATGAGGGAGGAAACAGGACAGAAGCTATACCACAAGGCTGTAATTTTGTCATCAGCAGTTCTCAACTGGAAGCACAAAGATATTTTCACCCTGTGTTTTCTTTAGCAGTAAAACTGCTTTAAAAATCCCCACCCCATCACAGTTCATTACTTCCTCAAACTAAATGACACAGATTATAAAAATCAGTATTTTACAGAGAGAAGTTTTTGTTGTTTTCTAAACCCAGGTCATTTCAGTGCATTTTAAACAGTTGTATCAGCACAACTAGGCAGTGACAAACTGCATCTTGGACACAGAAACTCCTGACACAAAACTACACCCCGAAGAGATGTATTTTATTTGTTGCATCTATGAGTCCACCTCCCATTTTTCCTTAGAGGATTAAATTACAAGCTGCTGCAAGGGGTCATTCAAAGAATAATATTTACAGCAAGACACAGCAACACTGAAAGCATGATTCCCTGTAATTTTTCACAAGTTTGCACAAGCAAGTAATTCTGTGAGGAGCAAAACTAGGGGAGCCTGATTTTTTTTCCTAAGCCTAAAACCATCTTGGGTCTTGTGATTAGATTTTCTGAGTCTAATACAACACAAACTCCTGTTGCAGTTTCCTACTGCACTTCCTAATGTCCTCCTCATTTTCTCTAGTATCCAAGAAAGACTGTATTCATGCTGCTCATTCCTTCTTTTTACAAGAAGACTCAAATTGTAATTGTCTCTGTACACATGTGCCAAAGTTTGTAAACTATTTTTTCCCCCTTTTTGTCTTACCTGGAAGTATCAGTATGTCTCCTCAAAATGTGTATTTTAGAAATAGAATTTTCTAATATGGTGAAGAGAACATAATGTATATTAGATGTTTTGTCATTCCACCTGTAATGTGGGGGGAGGAAATGAAAATTTAGGTCAAGTTTTAATAATTGGTAAATGACATAGAACAAGCAATAGCAGCATACTTACAGAAATGGTAGTTTAAATAATTGAGGTGCAGAATCTTCACTGAAAAGGAAAAAACAAATTTACAAAATGCTATTGTAATTTTCTGCAGCTGAGCTTTAGAAATAGTGTAAAGAAATACCTTTGAGAAGTTTTGTAAAGAGACATGCAGACTGCTTGATGCACTGACTTTCCAATAACATCCTAATAAATATAATGAAAACAGGCCAAAAAATACAGGCAGTTATTCATAATTATACACCTTTTTAAGACAAAAAAACCCCAACCAACCAACCAAAACCACCTGAGTACATCTGAAAGAAAAATCCACCAATATTTATGCTGGAATAAACATCACTGAGGCAAACACTACTGTCACTTGATACACTGTTTCATGTTTCTTCATAATGTATAGACTAATGTATTTCCATCTAACACATTATCTAGTACACAGCACATACACCAAGCTAATTAATGTTAAAAATAGATCCTAATAATGTGGGAACAGAAGACGCGAAAAAAAAAAATCCCCCATTATGCTCTCTCTAGGCTTGAGTCATCCTGGCAGTGGTGAAGCTGGGCTACATGCTACCACCCAAGTTGCAGGCACTTCAGACTGTAGATTAAAACTTCAGGCCTTACTAAGCATGACTACTATCTTCAGTTGACTGCTATCCCTAACATAAAGTTAACATATTTTTTTTATATATATATATATAAAA